TTTTACCTCCTGTTCCCAAGTTCAACTTAACTAGAGAAAAGAAATGAAATAGGTGGAAATGAGAAGAAAATAAAAGAAGTTGGTGTTCCCGAGTTTCATTAAAGGAAGTAAGTGGAGGGAAATGGAAGAACATTTTCTCTCCTAACTTTCCTTCTGACTAATGTGAAGCTGCTGCAGCAGTGAGTTAGTGGACCGGAAGGGAATGACTCCCTCCACCTTGAAACGTTTTGAAGGGTTGTTAATTATTATATCGATCGCGAAATCTAAAATAAATGGCTATCCCGACTAAAATACAATGTCCCTTGCTATGATTGAGTAGTTCTTCAAAGTCTTGTATCAAACTTTAAATTTATAACTTTTAAATGTAAAGCTCATGGAAGGTGACATATAATGGCCCATGAGTTGCATGAGTTTGTACCCAAAAATGACATCTATTTACATAATTCAAAATGATTTCCATATTGAATAAATAATAATAGAAGTACGAGTAGAGTAGGGTATGGTCTAGATGGCATGCTTTTGTCATGGTAAACACCACTCCTGGTGTATTGGCGGTGTATTGGTGTATGGCATGGCAAGTGTGGCAAAAGAACTCGGCTCCTCCATGCCGAGTCTCTCTTTTCTCTTTTCTTTCCTTCTTTTCTATTTTCTCTCTCCTTCCTCTCTTCTTGCCATATGTTTTTACCAAGAACCATTCCCATTTTATGACACCACTCCCTCGAGTCTAATTGTCTAATTAACATTGTCGTTCTCTGCATGATACCAAGGAGTTGGATCATGGAGCACCCGTAAAATGATGTGGCATGCAAAGCCATGTGTGAATACCATCACATAGTTGTAATTATGATGTGGAATAGTCAGCTTTACGGAGCTTTATGTGTGTGTGTGTGTGTATATATATATATATATATATATATATATATATATATATATAGAGAGAGAGAGAGAGAGAGAGAGAGAGAGAGAGAGACCATTTCCGGAGGCATGTGTGGAATGGTGTTGAGAGAGAGATATTGCAATACGACAAACATATTTACAATATAGTCCCCTAGACTATTGAGGGTTACACACTTTATCTCACATCTTACAAACGCTACGTCCTATTCTAGATGTCACATACAAACTATACGTCATATTCGATAGATGACACTTATTCTACCGATAACGACAAATACCAACAAATAAGATAATATACAAATTATAAAATACATTCTTCCACAACAAAAAAGACGCGTGTCTTCAATAATGTCTTCAATAATAATGACTTTATACGTCATTGCTTACGTCATTCCTCCCGCCGGAGGCGTGTGTGGAATGGTGTTGTGACGAGGTGGTCGGCCTCTTTGGCACCCTCACCCGTCGATCGTAACCACAAACCTTATGGTTATTTGCATAGACGTGATGTTAAAGATTGCGAAATGGTTGTTAGAGGAATATGTGTTTTCTGATTTGCATATGATTATTTTGTATATTCACCAAACAATAAATTTTGTTCCTGCTCTTGGTTGTTAAAAAAGAACTCGTGTATTACTAGAAGATTACTATAGACCGGATAAATAATCCAAAAAAAAAAAAAAAAAACTCATATATTACCAATTTCTTTCCTTCTTTTTTTTTTTGAAAAAATAATTTAAGTTTTACATAAACAACCTAAAAAACAAAACAACAATAAATTTAGGCATATGTTGGTTTTGCATCTGGTCGCTAATAAGACTGTAGTGTTGGTGTATGATTTGGATATTGGATCCAAACAGTGTGGACCAAGATTTCTCAAATTCATAACCCAAACGCTACTACAATCTGCTAGATTTTCTCGTCGATCTAAAGTTGATCGATTCGCAAATGCGCATTGCATCTGAATACCTTGCGGAAGATGAAGTTTCAGTACCTACAAACCCAGTCACAGAGAGCTGCTTTCGCTGGAATTTTTGTGATCCTTCTCCCCAATTTCTTACCTAATCTCTTTGATCCTTTGGGACGTGCTTATCCTTCAATGTTTTCGGTACAAATTCCATCTCTATTGATGTGCATATATGCTGCATCATTTCCATGATAACCTCAGACATTTCTTTTGGCCAAGCGGTGTTGTTCATCCATGATTAGGGTTTAGTTTTTATAGCGGAAATGTAAACTATGTGTTGTAGTGTTCTGGAACTAAATAGCTAAGATTTTAATTGAAATGATAGTGGTAATCAATATGTAGGCATCTTATATATTTGGAGGAAGTATATGACTTTAGAAGCGATCATCCTCAATTGGTTGCTTTGTTCTTTCTTCTCACCATTTAATTAGATTGATTCTTGCTGTGTTTTATAAAGGGGCTTTCTTATTGTAGGAATGGAATGCTCCAAGTCCTAAGCACATTCATTTATTAGAGGGTGCTTTACATCAACAAATTGTGAGTAGGTGCTAACTTCATCTTTTTACAAATGAAATTTATAATCAATTCACCTCAAAATTACCATATATGTAATCAAATACCTCCTCTATATCCAGTCTGAGAAACAACAATCTGATATCTGGTCTCCATTGGCTAACCAAGGGTGGAAGCCTTGTCTAGACTCTGCTACTGTCCCATGTAAGCTATATAAGTTCTGAGCCTCTTCAGTTTTTATCTTTCCATTTTTGCCCCTTAAGTGGTCTAATCAACTGTAATCATTCTTTAATCTAAATAACAATTTTTTTTAAGTCGATTCAGAGAAATCCCAGGGATATATTCAGGTGTTTCTAGATGGAGGATTGAACCAGCAAAGAATGGGGGTTAGTGCTCTTTTATCTCTTGAACTACATAAGAAACAAAAAAACTCAGTACATTCACAAAATTGATCATATGTTTAGGGAAAAATACAGAACTATTTTTGTTTATCTTGTATTTCTTCTCTAAAATTCTTTTTTCCAAAAGATTTGTGATGCAGTTGCTGTTGCTAAAATCTTAAACGCAACACTGGTAATCCCACACCTCGAAGTAAATCCTGTGTGGCAAGATTCAAGGTATATAAAACTCCACTATATTGGCTTCTTTTTCCTGTTTATTTAGGTCTCAACTCACAAAACTTATAAAAAAAAAAAAAATGCATATTATGTGCAGTTCTTTCACGGATATATTTGATGTTGATCACTTTATTGATGTCTTGAAAAATGAAGTCTCCATAGTTAAAGAGGTTCCCAGCAAATACTCATGGAGCACAAGGGAGTATTATGGCACAGGCATACGACCTACTAGAATTAAAACAGCCCCTGTTCATGCTTCTGCTAATTGGTATTTGGAAAATGTTCTTCCAATGCTAAATAGGTTTGTAATGATCCTTCTTTTACCCGTCTGTTAGTTTGGTAAAATTACGATTCTGCCCTTATATACCACCACAGGGACTAAACCTGAAAAAGACGGGCGAAATTGATTTTTTTTTTAAATTTATATTTGTTTCAGTCATGGGATTGCTGCCATTGCTCCATTTTCACACCGTTTGGCATTCGATAACCTCCCTAAAGAGATCCAACTTCTTAGATGTAAAGTCAACTTTGAAGCATTAGTTTTTGTCCCCCACATCAGGACACTCGGGGACACCCTTCTTCAACGCCTTCGAACCTCTCCCACTACAAAAATCAAGGGCGAAAATGGAAATGGAAATGGAAAGTTTATTGTTTTACACCTCCGCTTTGACAAAGTATGTTTCCTTCTTTTTTACCCTTCTCTATCATGATATTTTAACATGAGACTGGACAAACTTTATACTAGGGTGTATATATATATATATATATATATATATATATATATATATATATATATATATATATTCGGAGGGTATTCACGTCTTTTGTGATTATTTATTGGACAGGATATGGCTTCGCATTCAGCTTGTGATTTTGGTGGTGGGAAAGCTGAGAAGTTGGCTCTTGCAAAGTATAGGCAAGTGATTTGGCAGGGAAGAGTGGTTAAGACTCAGTTTAGTAATGAGGAGTTGAGACATCAGGGAAGATGTCCATTGACTCCTGAAGAGATTGGATTGTCATTAAGAGCATTGGGATTCAATAATGATACACGCCTCTATCTTGCATCCCATAAGGTAATAAATAATCTTGAATACCTTTTTCACCCATGAAAAAGGTATTGGATTTTTTTATTATAACATCTTACTTTCATTTCTTTCGGTTACAGCATTATACTTTGGATTTTTATTTTTCTTATCAAGACATTTTACTTTTGTAAAAAAAGGTTTATGGTGGTGAAGCGAGGATCTCAACACTGAGGAAAATGTTTCCGCTTATGGAGGATAAAAAAAGCATTGCCTCTGAGAAAGAACGTGCTCAAGTGGAAGGAAAGGCGTCGCTATTAGCTGCAGTTGATTATTATGTCAGCATGCACACAGACATCTTCATCTCTGCTTCCCCAGGCAATATGCACAATGCAATGGTATGTTATAACACCATGTATTTTGTAAGTGTATTTTGAGTTGGTTAAAAACACATGATATGACATGAATGAATTTTGATTGTTTTCTTCAGCTAGGGTACCGAGCGTATAGGAACATGAAGACTATTAGACCCAACATGGTGCTACTGAGTCAGCTTTTTCTAAACGGAACCATGGAGTGGTCTGAGTTTCAGCAGGCTGTGGAAAACGGGCATAAGAACAGACAAGGCCAAATTAGGGTGAGAAAGGAGACACAATCCATATATACGTATCCCATCCCTGATTGCATGTGTCATTAATTAAGTCTCTGGTGTAAATTAACTTAACATGAATACAATGAAAAGAATTGGAGATGCAAACTTCACATTCAATTTTTCCTCTTACTAAGTTCTATCATATGTATAATCTATATGAATGAACTCCTTTCCTTTCTATTTTTTTACTTCCTATTCCTAACTGAGGAATTGGCAAACACATACATGCATGAAATTAATAAATGCAACAAACTTTTTATATAATAAATACAAGTAACGATGATGCAAGCCTACTAAAAACCAGCTCGTGTCACATCTCTAAACACATTCAGATGTCACCTCTTTTCTTGTTCATTTGATGATGTGGTACTGGTACCTGGACCCACGCTACCCGCATCATTTTTCTGGTCTTTGCTAGGCGGTGCACCACCCCCATTTAAACAGCTAGCCAATTCCTTCGACTCCGGTGATGATGATGATGGTGCAGGGGGTCCCATCTCATCCTCCTCAATAGGCAGCATCCTTTTGGAACCCTCTAAAGCCACACCTAACACAATATTATCTTCCAATGCTGACCTGGCCTTTTCAACCTCCTGTTTTGGACTATTACCACCACCTGACCCAATGGGACTGGGTCCCACGTTTGAGGGTTTTGGGTTGGGATCTGTGATTGGGTCTGGTATGATGGGTTTGGTGTCTTTTTCTTCGATGTTGGGGTTGGTGGTGGGTCCGGGTCGAGATGAAGGCTTGCTTTTATCTTCACCGTTGATCTTGTAAGATGGTTCGATCAGTAGGAATGGACGGTTTGCAGCAGCGGCTCGGTTATGACTGAAGATGTCGGAAATTGGGACGTCATCGTGGTCTGCATCACGGTAGATTCTTTGTACAGTGCGAATAGGTGTTGCCAGACGGGCACGGTGGTGGCTGATTACTCTTAGCAGATCCAGCATTATTGCTTCCTGTTATTAGATTTTATCATTCACCATCACAAGGGTAAAATAGTCATTTCACTCTCCCAGCTCCAAAAAAATTGAAACATACGATACGAGTCATATGCTTTATTTGGCAATTTGCATCAATCACTTGTAGACACAAGGGTAAGGTGGTCATTTTACCAAAAAATTAAAGTCTTTGTTCATACAGCATGTTATGGGGAAAAAAATAGAAGAAGAAAAAGGCGCTTACCTTGACACAAAGATATTCTTCAAAATGCGATGTTTTAACAAAGCAAGAAATCATAATCTGTCAAACAAAAACAAAGGCTAATGATTTTTAATCGTCTTGTTATGAATAAATGCAATATCTGAGAAATGAATGCTAATGAGATTGAGTGCACAGCACAGATTGTTATGGGTTTAAACTACGCCAAAAGGGGAATATTGCATTTAATTTGGGCATCCCAAAATCATTTATTTGTGTATTATAGCATCCTACTTTCATTTCATTATGTTACCCTCAAGACATTGTTCTTTGAAATCTTTTACCAACTATAGCGTTGTACTTGAAGCTTTTTTCTTTATTAAGACATTATACTTTGAAAAATCCATCCAATTGTTGCTATAATTGGGCATTTCAAAGCACAAGGCTGTAACTGGAGGAAATGAAAGTAGGTTGGTATTTCTTGCATTTAAACCTAGGGAGATGAGAAGTGATGGTCACTTACCAAAAGAGCCTGGTTTTCACGGTCAACATTATCCAAAAACACTCGCCTATGAAGCTTTTGCTGCTCCACTTGAGGATTTTTGGCCAAAACCTTGCGCATATCAGCCACAATGTTCTGCTCCCAAAATAAAATCATAATAAAACTATGTACCATATTGCAATTTACATTTTACAAAAAAATAGTACTCACGTTAATTTTATTGACATCCAAATGGCTGATAGCAAGGTGAGTCTTGATGCGCCAATGAGTTTTTTGGCTTAAATTTCTCACTACATTCACTGTAAATTGATGATTTGGGATATGAATGGCCTCACGATCATCACCTCTAATCACTGTTGGGGACCACCAACCCACATGCTATATAAACCCACAAAAAAAAATATGAACTGGATCATGATTCATGACACGCTTAATGGGCATTGGAAAGTTATATATGGGTGTTCCTTTTTGACTTGATACAGAAAGAACGACTTAACAAATAAAGTTACGAAAATGAGGCTTTCCTCATTAAGTCCCATTTTATTCCTTATTTATATTTGCCTTCCGTTTTCCAAACAACACTTAGGACATGTTTGGTATGATTCAATGTAATCAGAAAGTAAAGGCGTCAACAAAGTAATGGAATGAGTCATTACATTCCATTATTATGTTTCGGTGACTTAAGGAATGGAATGGGCCATTCAAACATGTTGTTTGATATGTACAATTATAAAAAAACATATTCTAATCAAATAAGGATATATTGCTAAATAAATTAATAAAAACATGTTTCACGTCGTTTGAAATATATAATGTGTTTCAATTAGTCCAAAAAAAAAAAGTTCATATATCACTTCAAAAATGAAATCTTATAATAGAATTATAATTGAAAAATATTGTTACTTTTTAAAAATAATTTTAAACTTTTTTTTATTTTTTTTTAAACATTATTGTTATTGAAGATTATATAAATAAAGTAAATCATACTTATAATATATCAGTCCCTTCCATCAAGGAATGAAAAATCAACCCAGAAAAAATCACATTCCGTAAGGCTCAATTCCATTCCTGTGTCAAACAAACAAGATTTTTTTTTTTTTTTTTTGCATTCCCTAGTAAGGCTCTATTCCGTTCCCTCTTAGCTTATTGCATATCAAACACTACCTTAATACAACAAAGAAGGAAACATGGCCTAAATCTCTGGTTTGTTTTTAATGGTATACAGGAAATACATGATACATACCTCAACTGTACCAGAGACTTCATACCCCTGGATTTTTGTTTGAATCCATTCATTTAGTACGAAAGGTCTTGTTGCGTGGATTATGACACTTGAAAGAAAATTAGTAAATATCTACATGAAAATTGAATTAAATAATCATTATCAGCAATGCGAGTCTTGAATAAAGTTTTAATTTAAAAAAAAAAGTCATTGTGGTTGTACCTCACGGCCTGCAAGTGTAAGCAATACAGTACCAAGACCTCCAGCTGTCACCCACTTCTGAGTGGAGAAACCGAGTAATTCCATGAATAATGAAATAGATGCAACCCACACTGCAGAATAAACAGCTTTTCCCGCAAATTCATAACCCATCTGTACATTAAAATGTAGAGAAAATAGAATAGTTATATCATGGTTTTAAATAAAAGAAAAAAGAAATAACTCTACTAATTCAAGAAATAGCAACGTACTTGCATTGATTTGTTTATTATAACATTCTACCTTCATTTCTTCCTATTACAACATTGTACTTTGATATATCTACCCAATTACAGCAATGTCATCTAAATAGAAAGCAATTTTCACTACTATAATTGGGAAGATTTCTCAATGTATAATGTCCTAATAAGAAAAAGATTGGAAGTATAATGCTATATTGGGTAAATTTATCAAAGTACAATGCCTTAAGAAAACGAATAAATGAAAGTAGGATTCTGTATTTCTTGCATTTAGCCCCTATTTTATAAAGCAAAACAAAAGTTCATATGGTACAACAGTTCCAATGAATTCAGATATACTAGAGTCATGGAGACATACATTTCTTGCGTCACTAGGATCTTTATTCTCCGCAAAGAATTTTTGTGTTTGTTGTATTAAGCTGCCAAAACAAAAGAAGGCATCATCTAAACATCAAAAGTTGACATGGAAAACAAAAAATAGATAGGAGTTTTTCATTTTATTAAGAAAAAGAAATCTAGATATCAATAATCAAAAGCTCATTCCATTCCAACTGTTACCTTGATAAGCAGTATGCAAATGCCAATACTGTTGATAATGAACGTACAAAATTCAAAAGCCTTTGTTTCACAGCTTGGCTTGATGCAGAAGGTAGGATAACTGGTTCCAGGATTCTGTGAAGATCAATTACTGTTAAAAAAAAATACTGTATATGGAATAAAAAAAAATTAAAAAGATGTAGCTACTAAAAGTTTCTAGAAGGATGTTAGTTTCACCTGCATATAAGTACTGCACCACCCCACAGCAACAAAGGTTGAACATACGATGTCATCACTTGATATTCTTTACTCTTGTTCCAACTATTATCACTCTTCTGTATCAAGTAATCACAATATCAGACTATTAGCCACTTAGGGCATAACAAAACAAGTTGTACTGTGTTTAACATGCATTGTACTAGAACTGAGACTGATGTCAATGGGACAAAAATTGCAAGGTAAAACAAGGTGGGATAGGAACTCGCTCCCAATCTCTTGTCTATGCAAAAGACATAAATGCCCTTCTCATCCCATCATTAAGAAGAACATATACCTGCAGAAAAAGGATCCTGCAGACACGCATTAGAGGTCCAAGACCCCATGCAGCAAAAGCAATAACTCCAACAGCTGGAATCAATTGCACTACAAGAGATCGGCCATGAAAAGCTTCATATGACCTGCATTTGATGCAAAAAAATTCATACATGTAACACCAGAGAGTTAATCAAATATTTCAGGAACTAGATTTTGGAAACATAAAGTGAAAAAAAAAAATCACCTTGTTAATACTGTAGCAGCTGTTTTTAATAAAGGAATCTGGTTTCCGCCATTTGGTGAGAAAAGAGATCGACAAACTAAAATGTTACACCTAGTTGGTGTTGGTTTTATTGACTTCCGTAAGGTTAAAAGATGTACACTCCAAGCCTCTTGTAGCTGCATATGCAACAGACTTAATCATGAACAATATATCAAAATAAATGTCATCTTTGAAACTTTGACAAGACATTAGTTTAGACGAAGTGTTTGACTGTTAGTCAAATATCTAAAATACACCTGAACAATTACAAACTTGAGCACTGATAACATAAGTAACATACCGAGGTATGGGACGAAATACCAGCAGCAAAAATTTGAGTGTGTCCCTTATATCTCTTCCCCTGGAGGAAAATAAAAAGAAAAAGAAAAGGGTTAAAGAAGATGAACTGTGTGAAACTGGAATCTTGGAAGTTTTCTAGTTTGTTATTAATGTTTGGACATCAACTAATCGGTTATGAGCAAAAGATAAGCAATGATCTATGGATAAAAGTATAAAACCATGCACCTTAGGTCGGCTGTTATATACAGAACTTCTATTGATCCCCAATTCCCGAGAAAACAGCAAAGAACCAGTTGTAGCCATTATTGAGAGATTGAAGACACAAAAAGAAATGAAATATCCTAGAAAGCAAGACGGAATGTAGACTTAGATCCTGCACAAGAAATATGGGTTCTGCATATATCAGAACAATGTCAAAGCCACCAAGAAGTTAAACTCTAAATTGAGCTCTATAAAGTAATATACCAAATTGAACATTGACAAAACCCCTGATACTAATGGAATACTGTATAATACATGTAAATTAGCAGGTAACAGGTGCATTTGTTTGGGAAAATATTTCCTATCAAGTGAACATTTGACTTTAGGAAAACTGAATACTCCTTAACTTGAAAATGTCACTTCTGCTATTTTTCAGATGTAAAATTTGGTATAGATTTAAATATAAAAGGTATTACCAACATTACTACATGTGCAGTATTTGTTTGTAAAATCAGATAAGTCTAACACAATTAGCAATTTCTATTAGTGTTTGCTCTTTTACCATTAGATATCACTCTGAACTAACAGCCAAACTAGTAAAAGCCAAAGATAAAGGTATAAAACTTGATAACGAAGCAAAAAAGAGTAGTACAATTTCCATTTCAAGTTGAGGAATGAAGAGTAACCATTCAGCATTCAAATTGAAGACCTTAGCTCTTCCTTCAGAACATATACAGTATCATCAACAGCAACACATTTACAGTCACTCGACAAATCAAGATACATAGTTCAATATCTTTCCAAAAAAAAATATACATAGTTCAATATATCGTCATCACACTATGAAATGTCAAACAAAGGGATTGATAAATAAATCAAAAACCTAAAACACAAATAAGAATTTGCATATCTGTAACAGTTATAATATTAATCATTAACAATCCACAAAAAACTAGACTAGTGCATCCAAAATTGTTAGAGTATTACAGATAACAATACATTTATCTATAACAATTATCACTTCCATAAAACGAGACATGATACAGTGAATTGATAAAATTGAGCTCTATAAACTATGCACAACAAATCAAAAGAATGAACAAAAACGAATATGAACGTTAATCGATAAATTCGTCAAATTGAACAAATAATTCACCTGATCACCAACACTAAGTGAGATCTGAGCGAGATTTCGACGAATTAATTGTATAACAAAACTTTCCGGTGGACTTGTCGACGGCGGAGCTTCGATGAAAGAGAAGAGAGCAAATTCCGATAACTTGCGCCGTTAAGAAACTGACTACTGTTTTGGATAAATGCGTTGTATGGTTGAGTGACGTGGCGGAAAGGGAGAGGGTGGTATCAGCTAACGTGCGCAGTATGTACTCATTTTGATCCTCTTTTCACCGAGTCGCAGAAAATTGGCCACACAAATAGTGGAAAAATTAATACATTTAAATAAACGTGTGGAATTACTTGGTCGGCGTTTTGGGCGGGTATCACCCGACCCAAACCTTCCCAAAAACGTGAATATCCTATAAAATGGATTTGCATAATTCAGTTCGAAGTTCGAACAGATAATACATGGAGTAGATTTCCTTTAAAAGTTCATATTTTTGTAAGAAATAAAAAAACTAGATAAGAACCTTTACATTAGATTAAGATGAGTAAATTTATTATTCATGTTCCAAAATTTAAACAAAAATAGTTATAATTTTCGCACATGACATCTCAATTTTGTGAAAAAAGGTTGTTTTGACGATTTTATCAAGAATTCCCTCTTAAAATAATATAGTTTAGGTGATAAAGATACTCACTTGAAAAAATGTTCACTAGGTAAGCATAAACTTAGGTCTCGTTTGATAGTTGTTGGCTGAGAAAGTGCTGACTGGGAAAGGCATGTCTGGGTAAGAAATCCTGACTGAGCAAGAAACCAGGTTGTTTGATTGTACATCTGACTGAATGTGTTGACTTATGAAAAATGATCATTTTACCCTCATCTTCTTCACACCACTATCACTGCATCATCATCTTCTTCACCGTACTTTAACCTCTATTATCACCCATCTTGAACCTCCTCCGTAACCCCATCCATCCATAAAACCCCTTACTTACACCATTCCACCCTTATCTCCATAGGCATCAAGTATCAAAAATCAACTGAATTCAAAAGGACATAGAAGATCTTAACATCAATCATAAAGCAATCACTTGTTTATGAGCAAAATCAATATTCAACAGAAAAAAATATGTATCTTAACATCAATCAGAAATCGTTTGTTTATGGACATAAAAGATCTTAACATCAATTAGAAACCATTCCATAAAAAGTGAACTTCAAAATCAACATTCAACAACAAAAATCAGCAAAAATGAACATTTAACAGCAAAATTAGCATTTAACAAATATGTATCTATGAATTACACAGCAAAAACATCTTTGCAAAAGCTATGATGTTCTAAGTTTGAATCCAACAAATTAAAGCATGACTAGCAAATCAATCAACTAAATAGCAAATAAAAAAAGTCAATAAGCAAGATAACAAATCAATTAGCTTAACAAATATCATAATGCAAATTCTGCAACATATTTATCTTTCAAACAAAAATTTTGCACTAGATTTCTATGTAAAAAAAATCTTCATCAAATTTAAGAATCTCAATGTGAATAGAGAAAAAAACGCAATACAACATTAGATTTAACAATCTGCATCAGATTTATAACTTCTCAAGCAGAAAAATCAAATTGGATAGCAAATCATAACACAGGGCAAGGGCAGGCAAAAGCAATAAATTGGAATTAACAACAAATCGAAAGAGAAACAACACGAAATCAGAATGAACAGGAAAAATCGGATATATACATGAAAAACTAAACTAAGAAGATAGAAATCATACCTGATTAGAAGAGATCTTCAATTGGTAGAGGTGCAGCGTCGATCGGTGGTGGGTGAGTCTCAAATCGTCAATTGGTAGAGGTGCAGGGGCACGTTTGGAATCTTTCTCAGTCAGGAGATATCTCATATCTTTTTCATTCAGATATATCTTTCCGAGTCAGACATCAATAAATCTGCTTACAAACAAGTTTGTCTGACCGAGTCAGCAAAAAACGTCTGACCCAACTCAGTCAGACGTATATCAAACAAGGCCTTAGTGACACATATTATTTACCAATTATATATATATATATATATATATATATATATATATATATATATATATATATATATATATATATATCGAGAGAGAGAGAGGTATATGTTTTTCAACTGCAAACTAATCTTTAATGGCTAAGATTTGAATGTTGATGAATATGTTCGAGTTGCATATAAACGTCACACTTACTATATTAAAGTGAGTAGTAATAGTTTCAATCACCACTATAATATGAGTATTGTAGATGGCATGATAAGTCGAAGAGATGACTTATTTGACTTACTACCCTAATAGAGATAATGGACCAATTAGTCACTTAAAGAAAAATAAGAGGATATAGGTTTTATGATATTTGTGAATATCACATGAGAAATAACATTTATGTGTAAAGATGAGACGAAAGAAAAGTTTCTTATAGATGTGAAATGAGATGTGACTTAAAGGTATGAAAAGAGACTTAGGTTGGGATACCCTTGCTTAGCGAGATTCAAAATACAAAATCTTCTTGGGGGGGGGGGGGGGGGGGGGCTTGTGATAAATGTTTTTCATAACACATATTATTACGAGAGATGTAACCCACTAATGACAAGTGAGATGTTACGCAACACATTTCCAAAGATGATGGTGTAGGTAAGTTGTAGAAAATGCTCCAAGAGATGATGGTAATGTACTTTGGGTTCATGACGCAATAGAGAAGAAACATGTGACACGTTTAAGAAGTACGTTGTTATACTTAAAATGTTGACGAGGATGGCGACACGTTTTGAGTCGTTTTGCGATGTGTCGATGAGTACACGTGGCACATCAGAGTATGACACGTCTAGAACACGTAGTGAATGGAGGTGACGTGTGGTAAGATATAACATCCGATTTTGAATGTAACTTCCGAATTTCAATTATGTTGTTACATTTTTTAATTGGGAGTTTTATTGTCCATAAGAAAATAGATAGATGGGACGAAGCAGAATGCCATTTATCGCATTTGCTGAAAATTTTGAAAACCTGAAATTGATCGTAAAAGACGCAGGGCGCCTCTTAACAGGGGAGACACGCCTCCGACCCAGTGGGATGATGGTTTTATTAGGGTTTTAGGGGTATTTAAAGGTCATTAACCCCTAGGGGTTTGATCATTTTCAGCCTCCATGACCCCTTGAGTGATTTTTCAGAAACCCTAACACCCTCTCTTTCTTTCATTCTTAAGCATTTGGTTGATTTGCGAAATTATTTATCTCCTCTTGAGTGAAGCTTGAAGATCTAGAAGTTCTGCTTGTGTCTTTAAAGAAAGGTTTAGGTTTAGATCTAGCAAAGTTACTCTATTTCTAGACTTTTGTAAGTATAAAGTTCATATATTGCTCTTTAGTTCATTAGATCTAATATATGTAGTTTTTTCACTTTTTGGTCCATTTTGATATTGTCTTTGGTGTTGGGTGAACTCCAACACCTTTTGAGCACTTTTGTATGCTCTCTGGACCCTTTTGACTTGGAAAGTTGGGTCTTTGGCATTCCCATTAAGTCATGCAAGAATTATGGTCCATTTATTTATTTTTGAGACTTGAAGTTTAGATCTTGGTTGCTTGTGTTGTTTTTGCAGTTACCACAGCAGTCGAATTCATTCGACTGTGGTTTATTATTGATCCATTATGTATAACTTTTCTTGGAGCAAGCCCAGATTAATTTTAATCCATTTAAAATCACAAAAAAGTGTCAACTTTGTAAGTAAATTTTGTTATGATTTTCTTCTTATTGTTGATTATTATTATTATTATTATTATTATTATTATTATTATTATTATTATCATCAATAGTAAATTACAAATACGTCCAAATGTTTTTTTATTTTTACTATGTTTAGTTTAAAATTGAAACTTTTTTCAAGGTTTCATATCTTCGGTTTTGGTCCCATATTGAAATAACAATTAAGGACCAATATTGAAAAAGGTTCCATTTGTAGGATACACATCATAACTCAAAACACATTGACCATTTATGTAAAAGTTAATAATATAAGTGAGTTGTTGTTTGTGAATGTCACTAAGCTAAATACGGATTGGTTTCCACCTATTGATGCATCCCTGAAAATGGTGGTTATTCAGAGACCGGTGTATGATCTCCTACAATAACCTTATGATGAAGCTGAATCTTCGTCATCTATGGATGCCAATAAAGTGACGACAATTGTCGATTTCTTTGGAGAGATACACAAACACAACAGTCCATCAAGAAATGGTCAAACTTCTCAAGAAACTGATGTTAGTGATGGAATTGGAATTTCATTGTTACCATCATTATCTATAGAGTAAATTACATGAATTATTTTAAAACTTTTTAAAACATTTCTTAAATGAATTATCTATAGAGTAAATTACATGAATTATCTATAGAGTAAATTACAATAATTATGGTTTGGGTAATGTAACATCCATAAAAATCATGCCAATTTAAAACTTTTTAAAACATTTAAAAACCAATAATTATTACATATTATTTTCAAAATAGTTTCATGTCAGAGTATCCTAGAAATCAAATCATAAAAATCCAAGGAGATGCACGATCACGCCTTCGGCTTCCCGCGATCATTTGAAGTACCTGAAACAAAATCAACAACTGTAAGCTCGAAACTTAGTGAGTTCCCCCAAAATACCAACGCCATACAATCAAAACAATATCATACAAACAACATGCATAATGAGCCATCAGCCTGACTGAACCGCCTCTCAGGGCCTGCAACCTATCTGGAACGCTCTCCGAGCCATCGACACGTCTGACCCGCTTCGCAGGGCCTACAACCTATCCGGACCGCTCATCGGGCCTTCGGTATGACTAGTACGCCTTTACCGGGTCTGCAATCTATCCGGGCCGCCCTGGGTATATTGGCACAAAGCACAAAGCATGACCGCCTCAACCCAAACCCCCAATCAACCAATCATGTGCACATAAATATCATACACTAGCTAGCATGTACAGATAATCATATAAATCTAACAGATCACTAATCATAACATCATCCTATATACCAGGATACTGATCTAACATATCACTAACATAACATCATCCTATAACCAGGATACAAATCTAATCGATCTCTAACATAGCATAATCTTATAACCAGGATACAGATCTAACTGATCTCTAACATAGCATAATCCTATAACCAGGATACAAACCATAAAGGGCCGGCCTTGGTGCCGTAGACCCTGTTGATATAGTGAGAAGCACTCACCTCACAAGTAGCTCTGAATGATAATGTCAAACTCCCCGAGTACAACTCCACACTAAAACACCTACAATTAGCATGAAACCAATTCTATAAAACCCAAATCACCAAAAATACCCTTGAAGTC